TATTTATTTATTTATTTATTTATTTATTTATTTATGTGTTTGTTTATTTATTTATTTAATAATTTTGAGCTGTTAAACCTGAGCCAAATATTCCTCTGCTTCTCATTACCAGCTGTGGTACACTGCATGATGGGGAATTACAGAAAAGCTAACCTTTTATGCCCAGAGATCTTCCTCAAGAGGAAAGATTCCCTCAGCTCACAGGAAATTGCTTTTTAAATGGTTTAAGATGGGCTAAGACCCAAGACATTGACAAACCCTTCCAGTGATGAAACACCTTGGTGGACAACCTCAACCAACAGCCCAGGGCTTCTTTATGGGYAGTATTAAAGCTTGTGGAAGTGTGGAACATGGCTGTGCTTTTAGAAAATTTAGGCAGTTTCCTAAATAGTTACAATTTTAAAACAAATACAATTTTAAGTAACTTTTCCTTCTGAAAATATTCCGCACAAGTTCTTCTGACCCCTTCAGATTTCCTTTTTGCCAGTGTCTTATCATTTTTTTTTCACCTGGTTGTGTAGTTGTACCTTGACCCAGAGGCCATGCTGAATGTAACTGTGAACCTGGGGACCAGCTCTGTCTGCAAATATATTAACGAGCAGCACTATCACATTTTCTAATTAGGAGCCGTAACAAGAGCMACGAGCTCCCAACTGGATTGCCATTAAAACTTCACACATCAGATTAGTTTTTTTGTTTTAAAGGAGCTGTGATGAAGCGTTCTTCAATCCCAGGACCAAAACGTTGTCACAAGCAAAAGGAAGGACTACATATGGAAATAATATGCACAGACACGTTGTGTTACAATCAGAAAGAAAAAAAAAAACTTAAATGAAAATAAAGCAGTAGAGAAAGTTTGCAGAGGGGTGGGATGGTGGCTGCAGAGGATTAAAGTGAAGAGTTTCTAAAGGTACTGTAGTGGGTAACAGAAGAAATATGGCATGAGTTCATAAAACACTTTCCTGGATAGCTGATGACCTCAACTCTGTGACATTTAATTATTTCTAAAACAAAAACAGCAGTGTGCAAACACAGACATTTATTTTTTTACCTTGAGTAAGGAAATAATTTAAGATATACAAAACCCTGTGGTATACTGAAGGCATACTGGATCTTTGTTTCCAATCTGAATGATTAGTGCAGATTCTCAGCTGACATTTTTTAGTCATTTTAACAAACAAAGACAATGAGAGGACTAAAGTGGTTTGCAGCAAAACAGAGATGATGTACAAACTCAGTTTAACGTTTAACAGGAGGACCTATGATTATGGTAGTGCATGGCAAAATTTACAAAAAACGTTTTTTCAGATAAGTTTTTCTTAAAACCAATGTGCCACTAAAGTTTCCAAACAAGTTTCATAAAAATTAAAGTAGTATTAAAAAAAACAAGCAATATTTGTTGCAAAGCAATTTTAAGTAACCATAATAACAAAAAACAAGACAGAAACAAGACAAAACTCTTCACTCATTTTTCCAGAGAAAGCTGGGCACTGATTTTTAACACCAAAGACATGGCATTCCTATAATTACACAGCAGTGTCAACAAAACCTCTTCATGAATTCAATTTGCTATCTGTCATCTCCTGTTTGTTTTTCTGGGGGAGAAAAAAAACTCAGCTGATCGATTGAGAACTCAATTTCTGATGTCTCACATGCAGCTCCCATGATTCATGGGGGGAAAGAGACAAACACTTCTTAGAATTCTAAAAAGCTCCTGTCACGTACACGAGTTTCTAATATAAAAGAAAGTCATGGCATCCGTTATGTGACCAGTCCAAACTAGTAATAACTATGACTAGTTGAAAAAATCCAGCATTTAAAAGCAGTTTTTTTATAAACCCTTGTTTAATCAATCACAGCTGTACACAATTTCCTCTAAATGTATGTAATCATCGCACTGCCCCCTTGAACAGGCTGATCAAGCGTACGAGAGATTAACCCCCCCCCCCCCCCCCCACACACACACACACACACATACACTATCCACAAGCAAATTCTAGAGTCTAATTTGCTCTGTAATGAGAGCTAATGAAAGCTTACAGGCCTTGTGTTTGATAAATTAAAGCCACTGTGAGTGAGTAACACAGTGAGAGCTTAACCTCATCCCAGTCACCCTTCATGACTCCAGTAGAGAAGATGAGAACAAAAAGGGGGTTAGAGAGGACAGGAGGAATATCTMTTATTTTTTCTGCTTGCTACAGATTGTTTTTGAACACATTTGAGCCCATCTGTTCCCCTACAGACAGTCACCTGTGCAATTAACCTGGACCATTAGCCGTGAAACAAAGGCCTCAGTGGAAGGAGGGGTTGTTGCTTTATGGCCAGGTGGAGAGGCAGCAACTACACATCCTTTTAATCTCAGCTTCTATCTCTGCTCTCACTCTCTTGCACCTGGTTCTGTGTTATTTTCACACCTGAATTCAGCCTCAGCCTGCCTAGATGTACACAGCCACCTGCATTACTCAATAGCCCTGCTCTGTTTCCTGTTCACTAACCGTCGAGCTTTGAGCAGAGACGTCCTCCACTCATCCTCCTTCCTGCTGTCCCAGCAGCTCCTAAGACCTGAGCAGACAGACACCATTACTGCCACAGTGAGCACACAGAACACGAGTTCCCCAAGAACAGCAGTCATGCACCTGTTAGATATCTTTCCCTTGTTTTTCCACACTCTCCTCTTTTAGCATCTCCCTGCTGTCCAACCTCCCGATCCTGGCGAAAGCTTTGACACAATGACCTGAGAAACTTTTCAGCGAGACTCCAGTCTGTAATTTCGTAGGTGTGTGTTTGTGTGAGTGCACACATACTGGTTTAGATAAAGGAGGAGGGATGGGGATGAAGTGGTGAAATGGCAAATAAAAAATGGCAAACCCACTCATGTCTTTCCA